TCGGTATTCCTTCTTCTTCTAAATGTTTCAGCTCAACTTCAGCTTTGGGTTTCAAGGCATATGGAACAGGCCTTGCTTTGCAAAAATTGGGTTGACTGTTTTCCTTAAGCGTTAGTTTTTCTTTGGTGGACTTGAGTGTGCCAATTTCGTTTTGAAACACCTAACTGTACTCGTCCAGGAGTTTGTCCAATTTCTTTTGGGTTTCTTGTGGTGGCTTCTCTTTTGAAATAGCGCAGATCTGTTTCCAGTCGAGTTGTATCTGGTGTAGCCAATCTCTTCCAAAGAAGTGTCTCTACCACTTACAATGTGAAGTTCTTAACCTGATTGTTGTGTTCCACACGAACAAGGAGTTTTCCTTCTGGTTTCATCTTCTCTCCTGAGTAGCTTTTCAAAATGGCTTTGGTATACACCAGTGGTGTGTCTGCGAACATTTCCTTGTACCTCTGCAATGGAAGTGTGGATATTGCTGAGCCCGTATAGAGTTCCATTTTCAGGGTGTGTCCGTTGATCTTTACATTTACATTTACATAGCGCAGACTTCTATGTGGATATATTCAGTCGCGCTTAACAGTATCGCAAGGTTGAGATCAGACGTCAGCACTTTTATCAGGCGCCTCTGGTAGCCGCCTCAGTCCATGTAGCGATCTCACCTTCCAACCCATCCCCCCCGGGGAGGAAATCCGCTACACAGTAATCTCATGCATGGGAAATTTACGTCTCCTGCCCCTGACCCTGCAGGAGACGGGACCTACGGCTTTACGTCTTGTCCGAGAAGACGAAGCAATGTGAGTGAAGCGTCTTCCTTAAAGACACAACGTCATTCCCCAGCCAGGACTTGAACCCGGGCCAAACGACCCAGAGTCCAGCGCACTGACCACTGGACTTCATCACGTAACCCAGATGACCTCGCCAGCTATTACTTGGTTGACATTGTTTACTTCTAGTGATGCCACGAAGCTGTCGTCATCACGTTCATCATTCATCTCAAAATAATGCAGTTTGGGTTTATCAACCTTTCTTCGTCGGGTAGTATTCTGATTTCTTCCAGAGCGGCAAACTCGTTGGATGTGGCCCAGTTTACCACATTTCCGGCATGTTTCATTCATGTGCAGTGGCACCGCATCGATAACAATTATCACGGGGCTTCGGTTTCACATTATGTACTCTTTCGTTTTCAGTGTTTATTTTGTTAACGTCAGATTCTTTACTACCCTGTAACTCTAAGGT